ATCTTTTGTAGATTTTTTTATGGGGATAAAGTGAAAAAAAAGCAATTGATCGAAATTTGAGAACAGTTGGGAATTAAAACGAATTAAAAATAACGTGAACGTAGTATAATGGTCAAAATATTGTGGTTAAAGATGACACTGAATTTTGTTCGATGTAATTGCTTACTAAATTTTGACGAGATAAAATAAGAGTGTCATATTGAGTATATATTGTATACGAGTATAAAAAGCAAATATATCTCCTCTTCTTTTGGGCTCACTTGAAAAAATAACAGTCAATAGTAGCATGGGATAGTTATATTATAGCGATTATAGTACACACTGAATTGGTCAGTAAGACTTAGAAAAATTCAAAAGTTGTAAATAAACTCAATAGTTAAGTTTGATGTCGAATATCTAATTTATGGTATTTTAAAAGTTTTTTTTGTATATATTTGGTAACCGATACCAATAATGCTTATTTAATGGTGTACAAAAGCGAATTGCAAAAGCATTAAGCTAAGACTAAACTTCCTAATATCTTAAACATATATCCTAAAGTTCCACTATATTATTCGACTCACTTTACAAATAATTACGGAGAGTTACACTATTAATTCGATTAATAAGTTTCATTTCCTTTATAGTACTCAAAAATTAGACTAGAAATTTCTTTAATTATTATATTAGAATTTATTATTATTATATATTTATTAGAAATTAAATTAAATTGCAAAAATCTAAAATTGGATTTTAAATTATGGAGTGATAATAATTATTTATTTTAGAAATATAATATTTTTATACTGACGTTAATAAACTATTACATTTTATTGAAATTTGGTATGATTTAAGATAAATTGTTAGGATTACTTATTCTTGTTTACACTTATTATTGATTGAAAACAAACCAATTTATATCATCATAAAGATGTACTCTTATATGTTTCATTGTTTTTTCAGTTTAATAAACTTATCTCTTTTTAAAACAATAAAAAGTCATGTAATCGGTTACGACGTATATAACACGATAAAAATGTCTTTTTCATCTTCTCCTTCGCCTTTCTTCCAACTGTTTGGAGTTGGATAAACATAAAACAATAAAAATGTTTTTTCATTTTAATCTTATTATCATGATTAAAACATATTATTAACAATATCTACTTCAAATAATATAAACCATTTTAGCATTTACACTAAAGTTGTAACTTTAATTGATAACCTATTTATATATATATATATATGTATATTGAATGAAACTTTCTCAAGAAAAGTAATAATTAATTTATTGATTTAAATTATATCAAATTTAATCATTTTTTTGATTATCATAATGTAAGTGTATATTTCAACTATGAAATCGATAAAATATGTATGAAAAAATAAGGTCGTATACACGACGGATATTATAATTATAATAAATTATTTTATTTGTATTTGTTGATCGTTTTATTTCATTTAAATCTATACAGGTATTTTAAAACTTATAGTTAATAATTTAAGTGCCATTTGATCGCATTTTATTTGTTTTCCGGAAGTTAAAATTGAAATAATTTTAATGGGATTTTATAAGGTTTAGCTAAGTCCCACACTTTTAAAAGTGAATACATTTCTGATATTAATGATTACATCATTGATTAAAAAAATACATGTATTCAAGGATGTCTCAATCAACTTTTAATTAATTTATTCATACACAATTTACCATATGTTGAGGTGATTTTATATTGCGTTATTATATTAAAATATTTGTTAAATTAAGTTTAAATTAACTAATATAAAAATGGATTCTAAAATACAAATAGAAAAACATTTCTATCTGTACATAATATTGATTTTTATTGTCAATTTAAATAAAAATTAATTTAAATAACCAATTAAATATCATAATATCGAAATGATAAAAAAAAAATTGATTAAATGTACATCATACACCGTATTAAGTTATAGTCATATGTGAATATTTTAACGTCAATGTTATTTTTTTCTATGAAGTTTTCTTTTGTGAATGTATACAGAGATAAATTTTAAATTCTCTTGCCTGTAAGATGTATACCAACTTAGACCGAACAATATTTCTATATTTGAGTTTATATAGTAATTGATTAAATGTTGTATTGAAATCTACTTCTAAGTCATATAAATTGATTTTATGTTTAGGCATTAATTTCATTAAAATAATCGTGTGATGTACACAACAAAACCTGTTTTAAGATAACAGTAAAGTAAAAAAATATATATTCACGTAAGTATGTGTGTAGTGTGAGTATAGTGAGTGTGTGCAAATAACAACTATATTGAAATTAGAGTGTCCGTCCTTGAATATGATATGATGTAGGTCGCGCGTAAGTCCGCCGAGAAATATTGCATGCTTGGTCATCCCCCGTCTATGTTGATGATCAAGCAATTATATATTTTATTGTAATAATGTAGTGTAGAAATGATAACCTGTATAATATTTAAACAATTAAATAAAGTGTGTTGTTCCAACTTACTTAAAGAAGTAGATTATAAAATAACATATATTATAAATAATAAAATAAATTACTAATTTTAATACTTGAAAATCGATACATAATAAATAAATAAATAAATAAATAGATAAATAAATAAATAGTTTATATATAGAAATAAATAAATAAATAAATAAATGAAATCGCAGTTCATAAATAATTAAAAAGTATCTATTTTATTGATTTTATTTAGGTATATATGATTATGCATTTTTAATTCAAAACCTGTCGTAAATTACAAATATAATAATACTTCAGGTTAAGAATTTATTTATTTATTTCTATTTATAAATTATTTATTTATGTATTAAATATAATAAATGAATACCAAATTATTTTAGTTTTATTAATGATTGATCTAAGAAACTTAACACCTATAGAGTATACGAATACCTAGTATGAAATTTTAATACATTTATTTATACCTTTAAGCTATTCAATCTGGAATTTGCGTTATTTATACATTTTATCACTTATCGTTTCAAACTACTATACAGTCTCTATTTTTCATAAAAATTCGTACTACACATTTTTTAATATACAATGATATGATACAGAGCTCCTCTCAACCCCCTTCCATATGATTATAATTTTTAGTACAATATCAGTAATAATTTTTAGTAATAGTTCTTTTTTTTAATCGAATTGCATATTATAATTAGTTAAACTAAAAACCAATCTGATATTATTTTTTAAACTGAAAATATACTTTTGTCTGGTATAAATATGAAAACTGTTTACAAATTATTTGTTTTAATGTGGGATATATAACTTAAAATATAATAGATATATTTAAGTCTTCATCAGCTATCTGCTTAAACTGACTTCCTGAAAAACATCTTCATAGTAGCTTATTTATTAGTATTTAGTAGGTACACATTTCTCGAGTTTCGTAGTGCACACTTGCAGTTTCGGACTACACACTTTGTGTCGGGGTTCACTAAAAAATTGGGACTGCTACTATATAAGTAAAACACATTTTACAATTTTTGAAGACTAAAAAGTTTTGATATTTTTCTGGTTGTGGAAAATTCGAGGTGTTATTGATAACATTACGTATTAAGTGTTACGACCATAGATTAAATAAGTACCTACAAAAAGACGTCTGTGGTAAAAAAGTAATATTAAATTTAATATCATAAAAGAAATAAAAGAAATCACAATGCTACTACCAAGCATAATTACTGTAATTTCTTGTTTTAAATACTGAGTGTTATGGAAATAAATGTTAGGCATGTAATCTGTATGCTTTTATGGTTTATTTATGTAGTAGTTATAATATTTGTACATATGTCCATATCTATATGGATTTAATCACTTTCATCGAGTCTATACTCTCTCTCTTTACTTCGATAAAATTATTTGTGATTTTAAGAAATTAAATTATTTCGCATTTTTCAATTATTCAATTAACTTGTTATATTTGCTTTTGATAAAATTATTTACATATTTTTAGTTACATAGTATTATTTTAGAAGTGTTGTTATGTTTAAATTCGTTTTTATTTAAACATTTTTTATTTAATAAATAATTATAAGTAACAGTCAATTAAATAAGTTTTATTATCGTGTCTTTGAATACTTGCCATATTTTAAGTTGATTTTGTTCGAGGTAAGAGATCGGACAACGGACTGGATATATGTATTCGTTACATTATTGTTATCGAATATATTGATTTAAACTATGTAATACCAGTACACAATAAATCTTACTTTTAATAATATTTTCTTTAACCTATATAAATGTATTTTGAGTGTAGATACTCGTCAATTTTTCTCGTAAGCTGAACTACCTTGAACTTGTGACTACATGGTTCATTTTTTCATTATAGCAGTAACTTGAAAATATAGGTTACTGTATGTGAATATTTTAGAGATGCATGTTTTGATTTCAGTGGCTAGTCGATTTTTTAGATTAAAATAAAAAAAATTGATAATGATAGAAACTTATAACTTATTTGTATAGAAACTTTGTTACGAGCTTTTCAACGGTTTAAATATTATGTATGTAGATTTTATATGTTTCATATTATGTCATGTTTTAGTAATATTATTATAAGCCACGTGGAAATAACCTTGATAAATATATAACACCTAATCATAATAATATCTTTAAGGCCACACTTCCAAGAAGATAGGTTAGTATTTTAATATATTTTGACCTCCGAGAAATTTTTTACTTATAGAATAAATTATAGTTATAACTATTTACAATTTAATCAAGCACAATCAATTAAAACTATTACCTACTATAACATATTTATTATTTAAACTTATTTACTATGCCTGATTAATTACATTTTACATTTATATGAAATCAAAATAATTAAACAAATTAACTGTTTAGCAGTTTAAAAATATTTTTTAATAATTATTTTCTGTCTTAGTAAAAAAAAAAATAAAAAAAAATTAAAAAAGTTATTTTATTTATTACAACGTTCTGAATATGATTATTAAATATCAATACATTTAATTTATACATTTATATATTGAATTTGTTTACAGTTGTACAATGATTTGAACGAAGTCTGATAAATTATTTATTTGTATTATGCCTTTTACATTGTACAGTAAACAATAACGAATACATTAATAAAAATATAGTTCGAATAATAACATATCATGAAGTAAAATATTAATATTTCTTTTTTTTCGGAATAATTAATTAATTCAATAAAAAGTATAATACCGCATACAGTCATAATGTAATTATAATTAAAACCTAGTTTTCCGGCAAATTATTAGTTTCAGTAGATCCAATGTTAGTTTATGTTTGCTGCAGCACTCTATGTTTAGCTACACATGTTTTTAAGTATAATTGATGGTCTATAATCTTTTGACGCCAGGCCTCTGTAAATATTATAAATTTTAAAACGGTATGACTTAAATATTCGTGGATAATCATTGGTGGTAAAATTATGATTTACCATGAAGTTCAATCATTGATGGAGATTCACCTCCATAATCTTTTGGCATGTATTTTATAGGTACTTGCTCAAAGAGGGAATCAATATCGCGATGTATAATAATCTGAAATATGAAATAAATATTTAGTTGTCTTTACAACATCGGTCGATTTTATTGTGGTATCTTACTCTCTTTCGAATTTTCGCCTTAAGAAATGGTTTGAAAAGTGCCAATCCTGCGCTCAAAATGACTGGTGGATTTATTATGTGTATCTGGGCTACGCGTTCTGGATAAGCTTTCTGAAATCATACGTAATAGATATTTGAAAATATATTCTCGTTGAAAAATGTTTTTTTTTTTTTTTATAAAAAAATCATTGAAGTCTTGACATTTCTACAATAAAACTTAATATTTTATTATTGCTACACTTGCCTCGTATAACAATAAACAAACGTAGTCAAGAATCAAAACATTTCGTATTACTCGCTCATATTTTAGAAAATCAAACGGAAATATAAACAGTTGCACGGCTTACCCAAGCGTATAAGAAAAAACGTCGTAAGATTCCCACTGGATATCTAGCTAAATGACCCAACCGTAACGTTTTCAAGTCCATGACAAGCACGAGTCGTATATGATCCATTCCTTGGGCGAGAAGAAGGTCGGCAATACACGTCAATTGTTTAGCTATACCTACTGGATTGTAATCCGATGCGGGCGTACCTGGACGATGCGTAAACACTCCTAGTTTTCGGCCACCATCCATTATCGTAGGAATTAAAGCTAATAGTCTAAACAAATTGAAAGAAGAAAAAAAAATGTTAGATCTATTACAGTCGTTACATAATTTACATATTTGAATTGTATATTATAGAATGGTTATAAAATATACTAGGGATATAATTATTAAATAAAAATATCATAATATTGAAAACAAACTAACGTTGAACTATATCCTTTTATCATATCGTCGTCCAATTTTGGATCTCGGTTGTTCATTACCTCCGGTAAGATGGTTTTCAGTTGAAAGTATACCGGTAAATTTTCTTTAACTCTATTTACGTCGTTCTTATTTATAACCAGATAATTCTCCATCCACCATTCTAACTCCACTGTAGTAAATAGTATTTGTACATTAATTAATTAATGATAATTATAATATAAAATCTGTAGCAACTTATCATAGTATATTATGTATTGTTTTATAGTTATTTTTCCTATATTGCAAATAATAATTGATTAGTAATAACTGTTATTTTTTTTTTTTTGCAGGTAAGTTATTTTCATTTTCAACTTTTACACTGATGCGTTTACCAGTAAGTTTGATACATTGGTTTTAATATATAAAATATATGAACATAGAATGTCGCTAAAAAAATAATTAAATAATTTTTAATAAGATAAAAATTGTTATGCGTATCGCTTAAAAAATAATTTTTTTATGTTTATATGTTATTTATAAATATTTTAACTTTAAATATCTATTGAATTTAAATAATAATAAAAAAATTAAATAGTTCTAAAATAACTATAAATTATAAACTATAAAGGTACCGCAGTAGTTTAATAGTTTACACAAACACAATTAAATCTGACATAACGCGTAACAGAGGTATATAGATGATTACTACTTTACACGTGCCCTTGGGTGATTTATTATTATTGGAGGTCATGTTAATCTCACCTCCATCCAGTGTATTTGGCAGGTCTGGCTGTTCGCGAAGCCACTGGATAAGTTCGTAGACATCTCGACGTATCGACTCATCAGTCATGCCCAACAAACGTCTAGTGGCCGCAACGGCATCGGGTAGCGGACCTTTTGGCCGCCCATAGATATAATCTAATGTCCTGCTTAATACACTCATAATTTCAATCACAATAGCATACATAAACAACATGTTTTACACTTAAACAATTTATTTAACAGTATATCTATTTAGACATGTAATCCGATTAACATTGGAAAAGTTATTTAAAATGTATACTTCTAAAAGGTAAACGAACAATTTTATTATTATACAATTTATTATAATTATTCGTACATTATATTCATTATACAAATTAAGTCGATTTTAAGATAAGGTGAAAAATCTATATCCCTCTTAAACTCTCACTGTGTATAATGTTATTATAGCAAATAATAATATGACCCGATACTCGCCCATCGCCTTGCTTCTCGTATACTCTCGGAACAAGTTTTTGCGATCAGCATTATATCAACGCATTATCTAACAGAATCCTTATACTAAACCCTTCCATTCACGAATAAATCTACTTATAAATTTACTAAGAGCAAAACCTTTTTGGAACATACGCGATACGTACGAGTTTATACGACCGACCGGTTGCAAAGACCACTTTCTCTCCAGGGGACGCCGGCTCGATTACGAAACGCCGCACGTTTTGTCGGTCAAATAAACGCACATTCTCTCCCTCAAAAATAAATAATATATATATATGTATTTACACATTTATAATGCAATATCTTGCGGTATTTGTATTATTATCATTTTATATTTTATTTTTATTTTACGTGATTAATCATTTTAAAATAGATAATTTTAATAATTACTATAGTTTTCATTATAATATCATTCATAATAAACTCGCAATTCAGTAACATCAAACAATCTGTACAAATAAAATGTAATGGATTCAAATTAATGTTTGGTAAGTACCCATAGTATTTTGCAATTCGCATTGATTACTATTTGAAATTTGGTAAAATATATTTATTACGGTTCAGTTAATTCAGTTAATAATAATTATAGTTTACATATGTACTAATTATAGACATTATGTGTTCAAATTGTTATGTTTTATTTTGAAATTTAAATATCTTGGCTTATAATGTCTAACTGAACTATTTCTCATGATACCTTTCAATATTATATCGGTGTACTGACGTCATATCGAATTCAGCTATTACGAGCGTTCCGTTCACCAAATACTTTCCAATAGTAATTTCTATTCGATAAAATTGAAGAAATGTATTTTGTTATTAGAATGCATTCATGATAATATAGAACTATCTACTATGTGAATTGTCCCTCCATTATGAGATAACCATATCATAAAAAAATAACTTAAACACATCAACAATAGAGATTTTTATCAGTTTATCACTTATCACAAAAAATATGAATGTGTTTGACTTAATTGACTCACCTAGTCATCGTGATGTACTCGGCTTCTGCTATGTTTGCGAACTGAGGTATATGTTTGGTTAATTCTCACATTTTACCGTACTATCAAGGTGTTTACGGTTTCTAAAAACTGGATATTACTAAACATCTACTATTTATAAAACGTGACTATGTGAGGGGGGTCCTGTGGAAGGGGATTACTGGATCGTTGTAGATCGAGTTCTATGCGAAAGATTATAATACACATTAAAATGTCACGAATATACGCTCAGTTTGCCTTGAAGACCAGTTCTGTTCGTTTTGCGTAGAACAAAGAGGTCAGGGACTTTGATCAAACTTTTTTACCAAAAGCTCATAGTAAATACGACAAAAGTGACCATAAATAACAAACTTATTATACTTGTATTACATTTCTCGCGTAAAAATGTAATTGTTGTTTTCCTGGATATTACCATAGATTTTTATGACATGACACTAAAATATTATAAAACACACTTGAAAGTAATTTCATTAAAACTATCTAAAACCCTGAACGTTTGCCATATTTTAATTACGATTTGCTATTAGTTAAATAACAATGAAAATATATTTTTTTATTATAGTACTGCCAATTTTTTATTTCTATACATAGCTTTTACTTTTACAAATACACTTTGATTAAAATTTCAGTTAAAATAATTAATTATTGGTGGATATAGTGGATATTAATACACATAAATAAAAAGTATTATTGTGGAAGTACAAAAAAATCAAATATATAATAGTTGTATGTGAAATATGCTCAAATAATACACTCTAAATAAAATTACAACAAAATTGAACAGATAGAAAAAAAAAATCAAATATTTGTGACAATATTAATTATATTAATTATACTTTGTTTACCAAAAAAAAAAAAGAATACTTTTAATTACCAAATATTGTGTTTTATATTTAATTTATTAAACAGTTATGTTTAATGATTTAGTAGTAAAAAAGTTCAAAACATTATTTTCGTCATAAAAATAATCATTTTTTACTTACATTAAACGAACTGGTAATCAACTTGTAGAATTGAAAACTGGTTTGTTTTGATGAGTCGAACGAATGAATGTTTTTAATCGATAGTTTTGTCTCTGCGAGAACACACGAATTAATAAATGTAGAGCTTCGGTGTCTTCTTATACTAGGGCACAATCGAATGAATATTGTAATCGCGTGTAATGTTCAGTGGTTCATAAAAAATTATACATTAACAATATATAAAATGCAATATTTCCTTTTTCTCATTTTTTTCGATTATAATTAAGTCAATTCTATTCAACAACATTATAAGAACCAAATATTAAAAGTAAATATACGATATCTCAATAGAAAGCTAATTAAATTTATTGTTTAAAAATAAACAAGTTCCATCAGGTACACTCCTACAATATATAAAAATATACTGAAACGTCTGTGGGAATGTATTATACAATCATATCGTGAACGCCGTCGGAAGGTATAGGAAAGTGTTTTTGGGTAGTTAAAATATTATTACTTGAATTCTTATGTGGAATATAATAGTTGTTTGCAATTATTATAAACTATTAAACAATAAATAGTAAATATTTATTTTCTTAGCAAAAAAAATAAATAAATAAATAAAAATATCAAAATATATCTAAAAAAAAAAACAATCGCTCCATAATATATATAATGACGTTAGTACATTTTTATATCCATAACGACCATAGTAAAAGTTTATCTAACATAATCCCCATAAGAAATCCTGTAATTTGTATATTTTGTTTTCTTTTTAGTAATAAAAATCATTGTAGCTTATGACAATTGAAATCGTTGAAACACAAAGTTATAAAGTTATTCAGGGTATTTTACATACAATGAAACTTAATGTATTATAAATATAACATTTGAAGATAATAGTGTTTTTAGTAATTTATTTAACCCCTGATTGAAATTGGATGATATTTACATTTAATTATGAGTTTTTACGTATTGGTAATACAATTATTGAAGTATTATTTTTACAAATCGACTATCCCTGAAAGAATTATTTATTAAACCTTATGATTTATTAATAATTATAATGTTCCATATTTAAATATTGTTATTAAGTTCAAAAATAAAAATTGATCTGAAATTTAATATCTTTGATGAATAAAAATAGAAGGTTAAAACATGATCTAGCACAGTACACAGTAGCGTATATTAAATCATGCTTTGGGGGCAGGGGGGGTAACAAAAATAATCGTTATCTTTTTTTTTCGTTGCACAGATAAATAATTGCTATAAATAGATATTATTTTATACAACTTTTTTACCAATTTACAGTTTACTTTTACATTACAGTAAATTAATAGCTATTGGAATATAAAAACAGCATAGTTAACAAAACTTTTCAAACATCAATCAGTATGATTATTTATTATAATATTTGTATAGTCGCATATTTTAAGTTCAAAACGTAATAATGAAACTACAAATACATTTCACGTCATCAATAATAAAACAGTTTTCTTTTTTTTTTTGGCCCTGGGGGGGGTTTGAACCCGAAAACTCCCTCCCCCGTTTGCACGGGGGGACGCCATTGGTCTAGCATATCAATAATAAATCTATAGTTATTTCTAGAATTAGTACATTACATTTTTTAATAAAAACAATTATTCAGAAAAATTGGAATATTTAAAACATATACTGTTCTTTTTTAAACATTTACATTTTAATCTGAATTATTTTTATGTGTCACTACAATTAGTGCATTCTTTAGTTATTAATTAATTTCACTTAAACTGTTATTTTATGTAACTAACTAATAGAATATGAATGTTTTTAATTTAATTTATGTATTTCACAAGTTGATATATTATATTGATAAACATTTAACATTTTATTAAACAGTGTACATACAATTTTAAGTAGATATTTTTCAATTTAAGTTCCCAGTAACCGAAGACTTACTGTGTAACAAGTTTTTTTTTTATTATTTTTTTAAGAAAATTCAACATTATTTTTTTTTTTATAAAAAATTTAATTTGAACATTCATAATTAATATCTACGATATGATTCAATTATATATAATATTAATATGATTATTTTCTTTTTTTATAATATAATCATCGAAAAAGTCTCTATTAAAGCTTTTATTACAAGAATGTTGACTTAACATGAATTAATTTAAAACTGAGATTCGACGACTAAAATTCTCATGCATTTCTATTTTTCCGTACCATAATTGTAAGTGTACAACAAACTGTCGACAATTTTCTTAAATTAATATTCAAATGCGTCAATTAGCGGAAATTTATATTTGAAATCAGTTGTTTGATATTCATGTATTTTTCATTTATGAAGTCACTGAACTCTAATGGGTTGATTAATTTAACGTGTAATTTATTTTGATTTTGATGGTTTTAGTTTTTCGGATGATTTCGTATATCCTTCATAAGTCTATGCTTTTTAAATAAAATTAGAATTTTCTTCTCTTTTTTGTGATTATTATATATATATATATATCCTGTAATAAAACTGCAATAATGTTTGAAATTTAAAGGATTTATAAATGAATATGCGTAATGTATATAGAATTACTGTACACTTTGGGACTCCCTGTTAGATAATAATTAACTATCCATTGTCTAATTTAATGTTAATTTATATACTTCAAACTCAAGCTGTTATTTCTTAGTTTATAACTAACAAGTAAATATTGATTGACGATTGTTAATAAATCATAAGTAATTTATTTTTTTTAAATTCTATTGGAAAACAATTTTATCAAATTATAATTGGATAAACACTTAGTTAATAGATTTATTACCTGTCACGTAATATTTTATATTTTTAACGCAATTTGATACATTATTGATATAATTGATTTTTTATGTGTTTTATGCATTTGATTGTAAAATCATGTTATATTCTTTTGATTTGTGTTCCATATAGGTACTGGTATGACAATTTTTCGCTAGTTTTATTTATTAATTAGTAAACGGAAACATTCCTCCCCCAATGTCGGATCACTCAAATCAGTGACGATTATATTTTCGTACTAGCTGAATTACCCTTCGTTGTCGGGTTACAGTTTTTTCTACTTGGACTACATCTGGATAAACATTGGAGATTAGGTCTTCAATGCTGGTAACTTTTTCAGCTAAATCGTGATTAATTTCAATTTTGTTTTCAAATAAGGTGCTTTCCCGTCTCCATTTAAAAGTAACGTTGGAGGAAAATTTGTACTGCCTCCACCAAAATATGCTCTCATATTAGTAGATAGTCTTAAGGTATAATTGAACTTCCTAATGGAGGTATTTTTAAGCAAGACTTCACAATGTTAACTCTAGTTCCTTTAACTATCACCGATTATGTTTGTCATAAATCACCAGCAAACATGACAGTGATTCCAACCATGATTTTGTTAGAAATTTTAATATCTTTAAGAGTTCTATCTAAAGCCTCTACATGAGTTCTATGAATCATGGTACATTCATTCCAAATTATTAAACTAATATCTTGCAGAATTTTGCAAGTTTTAAATATTAGGCGTTGTGTATTAATTCAGTCCGCTTTTAGTGCAAGTATGTGTAATAGTGTGTAACATAAGCACTAACCGCTGCGACTAGAACAATGGAGAACTTGGAACATGTGTACATGTATGTTAAGTTATTTCTAGTTATGTTTGAATTTTGTATTTTTGTTTGGCAGTCGACATCCTATAATATTGACGTTTAGCGGAGACTACACTTGTTTAGTTATATAAATCTGTATCTTTCATCATGGTCATAAGACTAGTATTAGTACTAATACTAGTAGTAGTAGTAGTAGTAGTAATAGTAGTAGTATTAATAGTAGCAGCAGTAATAGTAACTAATTTATTCGTGGTAGTGGTACTAACTATCCAGTCAATGTCTAAAGTGGTCGGCTCGGTCGCGGTAACGACGGCAGGTTCATGCGTGAGACGCCTTGATTTTATAGCTCAGGGCAACGTAAATGCTCGCGTGAATTATTGGCGAATACGTCGACCGTTCTAGGGGACCTGGAATCCGGGTGGCGTGAATCTTCTTTGCGAGTGAAAGGCGAATTTTCAAAGTTATTGCCATAATTTGCGGCGTAGAAAATAGAAAGCTACCTGTCCACACTCTACACCTTGGTTTCTGCGTCTTATATTACTCGGTGGGTTGTATTAATTTTAAATAAATATTAAAACGTACTATTTTCAAACGAATCTGGCGAAATGGTTTCCTCGGGCATGACGTCTTCGCGCTAAAGTCACATAGTAAAATGACACACGAGGTATTCAACACATCCCGTAATGTGACTGAACCTATGATTTAGCAGCCAGTGTCAATTGTGCTGGAGGACACGACATTGGACGAAT